GGGTCGGGGAGCGTTAGGGTTTCCGGTGCCGATTTCTTCCGGGGGCGGTCTTTGGGGACGGTCAGAAACTCCGGAGCTTCGGTGGTCAGAGGGGTGGAAGGAGCGCTGGAGGGTCCGCTGCGGGCAACGGAAGGCAGCGTAATGTCAGTGATGGAAATGGCACTGGTGGCAGAAAATGGCTCCTTCCAAGTATGAGCAGCTGTGACAGACTTTCTTTAATATGATATTATATGTTCTAGTGTTTCTCTCACTCGTACCCCAGGTATGGGGGGGCAGAGGACAGTCGGAGTGCGTATATTAACTTTGAGAGTCCTTGTCCTAAATATAAACGTTGGGGGAATCGCCCATCAGCCAATTCACAGAAACCAGAGAAAAATAAAATGGCACACAATGGAGTTGTTCCCCTGAGCAGCCAATCTGAACTCCCCCAATAAAACCTAAATCGGGGTCTATAGGCAATACATATATTGTTATCCTCATGTTCTTTTCTCTGGTTATTATGAATCAGCCCTCTAAGCATTGTATGAGTCCAGGAAACTCAGCATATCTCTCCAGACGGAGACTTTACCAATACACATTAGCAAGATTATACCTCAGTAGCTCACTCCAGTTCTCTCGGACCCCTTTCAAGGCGGCAAACGTTAAGACATAATGGGTGGGGGATCGCGGGAAGGCCCAGCGTGCATTGCTCAAGCCGTATTGGTTGAAGTTATTTTCTTAGTCAATATTGGGGTGGGCATATTAAAAGTGTTAGTGGCATTAAACACGATGCTCTTCTTGAATGGTTGGTGTTGGTGTTCCTAATATCTGGCATCAAAGAGGCATACAGCATGTAGGCCATGGCTTACTCTGAAAACAACACTGAAAGAAGGGCAGGCTGGGCTGAGGAGCATTTTTCCAGTGGGCCTGTCCCATTAAGATATGTTGGGCAGGTGACCCAGAATGGAGATGCTTCACCATTCAGACATATATTAAAGGAGAACTATGAGGAGGGGGGGGTGCTTGTCACTCACCTCGTAGTTCTAGCCGACCTGTGACAATGAAACTGTCATAGGTCGGCTCAGTAGATCGGGAGGTGAGCGAACACATACCGGCGTTCCCTCACCTCTCGATCCTGACACGGCTCTCTGCCGTGACAGGGGAGGGGCTGGATTCTCCCCTCCGCCAGCGCTGACTGGCGGATCGTACGGGGGAGGGGGTGGGTACAGCTGGCTCTGCCTCTAGATAGGCGGAGCCAGCTGTCACTCACGCAGCTGGGGGGATGCAGACATAATTGTCGGGATCCGCTTCAGCTGCGGCATCTCAGTATACCGCGAGCTCCCTATATACTGAGCCTAGGGTGACGGGAGGACGCTAGGCTATGGGAAAAGCCTTAACCCCATAGTTCTCCTTTAAGGTGGGACCCACAAGGTGGGTATTATATAGCTACTCACAGCATCTACCAGAGGGAACTCTTGCCATACTGACTTCCTTTGCAGCTCTGAGACATCACGTGGGCTTTAGCCGAGAACCACAAAAGGAAGCTGATGCTTCAAGGTGTGAAAAGGTGCGTCACAATAGCCCATAACCTTTAGGAACACCCACCTCTCACTCACCATGCCCCCCACTCAATGCTACATTCTGCATGAGATACTTTCGACCACAGTAATCTGTCCCAACCGTGAAGGGACTACTTGGTTGTACTTCTCCCCCGGGCCAATGGTTCCCAGTCCTCCTGGAAAGCTGTTGCCCACGTACGAGACATCACTATGAATTTCTGAAGACGATGCCCTGATTTAATTATTTGACATTATGCCGATACCGGAGACATGATAAAGCGTGGTCCAATTTTCTGGGTGTGTGGCAGCGGCTGAAGAAACCCAGTGATATACAAGTGGGGTAAGTATAGGACGTGCCATGCATACTGGCAAACACTAGTAACTAATGCTCATATGTATAGGCCCCAATGTGAGCCAATGCGTATACTGATACTACAGTGCCAGTCTGCAGCTCGCACACCACAGACCCCCAAGACTGGTTATAATTGCCATTCCCAGTTTCATTTTTGTGGTTTTGTTACAGCAGCTCAGACAGTATGTGCATTGCGTCATGGGATGCTTGGAGGGTTGGAGCTCTGACTTGGAGTCAAAGCTTGTCTATTGCACTGTCCTGGTTTAGGGCTCCCAGGGTGCGGAGCTGATGCCTTCCTCAAAAATAAAGGCTTGTACAATATTGCTATGCCAGCTCTATGAAACTTGTACTAGCTTGACTCTTTTGCTGTCATGACAGGTACACTTTTACCCACGGCCGTCCAAGAGAGCCGGTGTTGGACCTAGAGGCACATACATTTCATTGCAGGCTCATAATGGCCTCAACAATCTGCAGGCAGAGACCCACAGCCAGCAGTCCCCACTCATCTTTCATCCTTCAGACTGTCCTTAGAGATGAAAGGTGGCATCTGATTGGCTGCTATGGGTGACCGCATCACTATTACTCTTCCCACGGCATCTGCATTTGCTCTTGGAGAGCTGGGAACAGAATGAACCCCCCAAACCATCTAACACAGCCCCAAATATCACTTTTGGGCTCTATCCCGCACCGGCCAATATTTCTACAAGAGCAGTAAAAGGGAACGTACGCTTTCTTTGGCGTCGCTGTCTATTTCATCACTTGTTGCTGACAGCAGTCGGTTGCAAACTTTAATATTCGTTTTGAACTGCATGTTTTTTTCATAGTGCCGCACATCGTCCATCGTCATATCTGCAAAGACGGAAGATTTACAGACTGAAGAGGGCGAGGGGAGGGGGTGTAAGATCCTACTGAGCCAGGACAGAAGAGCAGGCAGAGGGGGGTTCAGAGAAGAGGGGGGTCCGCTAAGCTTTATTGAGAGTGAACCTCATAAAGTTAGTCTGAGTCAGGAACGGGAAGGGTTAGGCCAGGCTTAGGAAAGTGAGCATCTGAAAAACTACAAGTGCCAGCAGGTCCCCCCGTGCCGAGACTTCTAGTTCTTCCACCAGAGAAGATTGCTGGTCTGGGGTAGGTGGTGCCACAGGAGGAGCAGGAAAGGAAGTCAGCTACGTAGGGTATAATCAAAGCGCGGAGAGACAAGAGGATCCTGCCAAGCGAAGATCTCTTAGGAAAGATTTAAGAGATCTGTTGAGAGAAAAGGGAAATGTGTGGAGATGCTGAAAGTTACACTTACCTGAACGCAAAGAAATAAAATGATTACAAATAAAGATTCCACATTCAGCATCGTCCACAGAGGTCTGTTCATGGCCTGAAGCAGCACATTGCATCGCAGACTATTACATCAACCCAAATCACCCTTTTTACTCCTGCTGTTTGGATAGTATTAGGAAATACTGTATGGGGGTATGTGTGTATGGATATATATATATACACATACATACATATACACACATACACACATACACACACACAGACACAGTATATTAGAACAGGCACTTTGTGGACAATAACTGAATGTGGAAAGGTTGGCACGGCTCATGCGATATACTCAGGCATACGCACCCCCCCGCTATTAGAAAGAAATAGATTATCGTTATATAGTGGTGAGCTGGACAGGAGGAGGAGACAGAGCAAGGAAAGTGCTGTAAGGAACTACTGGGAAAGAAAAAGGTAAAACAACATCCACAGCATCATTGTAATCAATCATAAAGCCCTAAAATTAATCTGGGGCCCCCCCCACAATGCAGCACCCAACGGAAGAGGAAATAATATATGTAAGTTTAAATGTAAAGCAAATATGTGGCGCTTGGTCTATGTGAACCAACTACACACTAAAGTGTTAATATATGTAAGTTACATTAATGAATCTGAGCTGATATTTTTGGGCCACTTAAAGAAAGATCTTTGCTGGTATGAAGTAATCAGTCCCCTTTCATAATGTAAGCTCACATGCACTAAGTGCTTCTTTATTTTAATTGTGAGCTGCATTGCATTATGTGAAGTAAAATGTTCCTTCAGGCCAGCTTGATTTCCGGCAACAGACCTTTCAGGTGCTTTAAAAAACCAGTCTGAAGATCAATGTAAGCCCTCAGGGGCAGGGCCCTCCTTACCATCTTGTCTTGAATTGTATTGTGATTGTAATGTCTTCCTTATATTGTACAAACTGTTGGCGCTCTATAAACCCTGTATAATAATAATAATAATTAGGGCTGGTAATGATTAAAAATTTTCGATTAATCAAAATATTTTTTAATCGATTAATTTTGATTAATTATAACGCACATACAGATCCAACTACATTGGCCTATACACATACAGCACAGCGATGAAGTAATAAAATTAACTCATTCTCACGTGCCCCACTCAATATGGCCGCCGCTTGAGTGGGGCAACTCACATGCTGGATTAGTGTGATCCTAGTTCATTTTATGACTTCATTGCTGCGTTGTATGTGTATAGGGTAATGCCTTGGCTGGCGCTCGTGCAGAAAGTTTCTTGGGCAAACTCACCGGCCCAAGTGGCTCCGTCGGCTAACGAAGGGGGGAGGAGTCCGGGGACGGCACAGACATCAACGTCATCGGACTCCTCCCCCTTCCCTTCGTTAACCATCACGGACATTGATGTCACCAGACGCCTCCCCCTTCACTTCGTTAGCCGCCGCCCACTTGGGGGAGGAGTCCGGTGACGTCCATGTCCGTGACGTTACCGAATCACCGACGGGACTCCCGGAAGCCGGCGGAGAGTGTTTTCATTAGCAATCAAAATAATTTTAATCGATCAAAAAGTTTAACGATTAATCGAAAAATTAATCTTTAATTTCCACAGCCCTAATAGTAATAAAAATAACTATTCTCTTGGAAAAATTTGGGCTGAATGTTGGATATGCGGTTGCAGTTCCAGGAGTTACCACCGGTGGCGCAGTTGTATCACTGCTCCAAATATTTCTATGACGTCTACAGGAGACTAAGAAATAATTAGATGCCTATCCAGTAATAATAATAAAAAACCTGCAAAGATGGATTACAGCTGAATAAATCTACTCCGGTGTCTTCAAAACATCACCAAAGGCACAACCCCCCCC